TTCTGATGACAATCAACAGTGGCTCAATTTTCGTATTGCTGTGATTCTGTCTATCCTTCTAGCCGATGCAAGCACTCTAGTTGTTTTTTCCCTCCCGTGCTATATGTAGGGAATGAGGGTCATTCTTTTTTTCCTTCAAGGAGCTACTTGTAAATTAAGAGACTTATTCTAAACACTGCCCCTGAACCATCCCTCCTTTTCTGTAAAAGGGAATAGCACCATTTGACATTAATGTTTTTTGTTGTTTCAGATTATTATGTTGTGAAAAGAATTTCTTATTAATAGAGCTTTATGCGAAGGCAAATAACTTAAAAAGTCTTATTAAGACACAAAACATATTCCTTAGATTTATCACCGACCACTTCCAAGTTCGTTTGTGCAACTATTTTGTTATGTTTGCTCTTCTTTTGTAGTAAACTGTGGAGTAATAGTACTCAACAATCTGTGACATCCTCATTTGTTGGGGAAGGTTATGTTATCAATCCGCTGCTGTTATCTTGTCTTTATAAGCAAACACATCTTAACCTTTATATCTAGGCATAAATTTATATACACATATATTATCCCGCAAATCGAAAGGAGTGGAAGGAAATGCCATATTGGAAAAACTACCTGTGCTCTAAACCTGAGGTCGATGATGACGACCTTCCTCTACCGGAACATCGCATCTTCGACGATTACGGTAACATCAAAGCACAAGTCGCACGTCAGGTGAGGTCCCTCTTTGGGCGCAAGGAACACACCACTGCAGCGGCAAAGCGCGACACATATATACTACCAAGGCTCTTGCGTGTAATATTTGCCAAAAAAAAACTGTGATCTTGAAGGGAAATACACCTGACGTGGAAAACGTATCCTTACTGCGGAGTCAAAAGAAAAACTCGCCGAATACCATCAGTATAAAGGAAAGCCTTGGGCGGCACGAAGGCGCCTGTTCACAAACATCAACAGATGATCAAACATCACGTAAGCTGAAATCCTCACGGAAGTGACAAAGTTTACCTAGTACTGGCTCCAGGTCCCAGAAAGCTTTGCCATTGCGTGGCAACCGCGGTGCCTCGCCGGTGCCCGTGGCAACCTTCACGGTGATTTTTCGCACCGCTTCTAACTTCAGGAACCGATCTGCTTTATCCAATGTCACGAAACAAACCTCCACCTGCATATCCCAAAGCTGAAAGTCCACCATCTCGCGAAAGCGGTTCTCCAAGACTCACCCCCTGTCTCACAGGTTGAGCTCCGGCTGGCCAGAGAAACGCGGCGTGTCGCAGGCCTCTGGTAACCCGAACTCAAGGTGGCCTGTAGTGGTGTTGCGGAAATATGCTGAAGAAAATGAAATCATAACTAAAGGCTTGAGTAAAAAGTCCGATATTCTTTTGGCCATCCGAGGTGTACGTTTTTAGCAGCAGCGCACTATATGTTAACACCTCGGATGGTGTTGGCTCGCATGTGAGCACTTTCGACTCGCTAGTACGTTCCCCCGACAAGTAGGCTTGGCAACTATATATACACATACAAATGAGCCAAAGTGGCCAGATAAACAGGATATTATATCCCACACAGCCCTGTGACATTGTTACTTTGAAGGAATACCTCCAAGCTTGTTAGGACTCGCTCCTAATCATACACGCACACGCTCATAAACAAGCCACGCATGGAATCCACATGGTTTTTTATGCACCTGTCCCCATAGCGCGGCCCCCACACTATTCTCACATTTTGTGGGAGTTGGTGAGGTAAGCATTGTTTGATTTGGCTAGCTCACATATTGTACATTTATGTGCGTAAAATACATGAGAAACCCCCTAAAGCACAGTGTTGGACGACCGATGGCCCATGCAGCAATGATTTGGTAAGTCTCCCTTCAAAGCTTTCACTGGTGGTTTATTTGTGGAAACGGGATATTAACATTAATAAATAAAGGAAAGATCAGTTTCCTCGTGTATATTAGTTTTTTATTTTGAAAATGGATCTTGTACAGTCTTGATAAATGAATCCTGTGAAGAAATAGCCTCGCATATGATCCTTATTTTGTGAAAGCCCTTCAGCACTGGTTGTGTCGTTTACTGGATAATGTATCCATATATCCCCTGTTGGTATTCCAATTTTTAAACTTTTAAAGCGATTGGATTAAATAGCGTCATACGTTTACTGTGGCGGCTACTTCGAAAGGTGACAAAACTCAAAGAAGTGTCTTTGTCGAATTCTGGAATGAATGGATACCTCATTGACTACAAACAAGGACAGGGGCGGAGATAGTTCACCAGGTGGTTCACCCATCGTACTAAATAGCAGCCAAACACGTTACCATGTGGTCCGAGCAGCGGCTGTGAAGCGTGGTTGGCTGCTTGAGGAAAAAGAAGGCTGCCGCGATAACATTCCTGAGTTCTTTCACGGTGTGCCGCTACATGCGGCCCATGTGTCTGAATCTCTCCCAGACCGGTTGGACCCATTTGTCCATGCGACGAACTCTACACTGCAGGTACTGTGGGTTGACAAGAGCATTAGTCACCAGCGCGTAGCCGCTCTCAGACCCCATCAGCGACTTAATCACTTCGTGGGTATGAACTGCATTGCTCGCAAGACAACTCTTTTTAAGCGTCTAATGTGTATCTTGGATCTATGTGTGGTGACTAATCCACCAGAAAGAGGAGAACACTTCATGTCGCTGCTAGATACCATGAAGTGGTTCTACCCACCAAGCTTCGTCGCCGGCATGGGTCTTTCTGCGCTCGCAGCACGTGCCCGCCGTGGCGTTAATTTTCGTGAAGCAGATAGCCCAAATGTATTTTATATCATCAAGCCAAATAAAGGTTGTCAAGGCAAAGGCATCCTCATCACGCAGCATCCATCGGAAGTCCTCAGTGAGCAGGGACGTGCGAGCATGGATGAGGAGTTCCTCGTGCAAGAATACATAGATAGACCCCTATGCATCCATAGACACAAGTTTGATATCCGTCTTTACGTTCTTATCACATCTATCTCAGCCCCTACGCGGTCACGACTGCGTCGCGACGGAGGAGGCAACAACGCAAACGACACCCTCACGTCTATGCGATATGCAGCATCTAAGACGCTTCCCCCAGAACTGGAGGGCGTCCACGTGTTTGTTCATCGCAGAGGGCTGGTTCGTATCTGTGCAGACGCCTACCAACGGCCCGCGGACGACAATGTGGGCTGCCGGAGCGTACACTTGACCAACTACGCAGTCAATAAACACTCCAAGAAGTACACAGTAGGCGAGTGTCCACTGGCTGGCCTTGCTACGGATAGCAGTGGAGCGATAGGTCAAGCCGATACCGCGCCGCGAGACCGGGCGGAAAGCGAAACCTCGATGTACGGCGGCAATAAACGCGACCTGAGCTTTTTGGAGATGTTCCTCAATTCCCTTTCAGACCGCTCTAGCGGAATAAATGGGAACATAGGTGGTTTTCGAGATGATCAGTCATATGAGGGATTGCTTTGGACTCGAGTGAAGCGCCGCATCGACGAGTGCATTGTGTTGACCGTTCTTTCCGGCCTTCCGGTGTTACGACGCGAGCTCGCTGGTGCTGCTGCAATGAGCGGAAGTCAAGGGGACTATAAGCGCAATTGCTTCGAGCTGTTAGGCTTTGACATCCTCCTAAGGGAAGATAATCTTGAGCCCGTACTGATGGAAGTGAACCACTCCCCTTCACTTTTCTGTGACACAAGCTTTGACTTTAGCGTAAAATGTGAGGTAGTTTCAGATATATTCTCGCTGCTTGAAACCCGCATCACGCCGCTTGAAGTGCAACAATACAGAAACGGTATCAAGTACTCTTTGAGCAAAAGACGCTACAATCAAGGCAACCCCAAGCCGAAGTACCCTACGCAATGTGAAATCGATGTGCAGCCAGAAGAGCAGTTAGTGCGTAGTGGTTCGGTAGGGTTTGTGCAGCTGCTTCCACAACGTGTGCCGTGCGGGGGTTGGACCGAGGAAGAGAGGCAGCGCCAGTCTGCAATGGTCCTTCTCGCGAATGGACTGCCCTGAAAGTGAGGCATTGGTTTTCAAATCAAAACGTGGAAAAGGGTAGGGTTGTGTACATATAGAAGATGGTGAACAAATGAACATGATTCTTTATTTTACTTATTTGGCTCAGCTTTATGTGTTCTTGCGTACTCAGAAGCCGAAACGCGCGCTATTTGAGCCTACAACTAATATTGGTCTTCTCACTCACTAACACTTTCCTGATTAGTCATTATACTATCTTCCTCAGAATTGTCACCATCGTACTAAAGGGTAACATAATATTATCCATATACTCATATCTGCAGATGTCTTCGCTCCCTGTGATAGACATTTCCCCCTTATATGATGATAACAAAGGGTCCCTGATAGATGTGGCGTGCGCTATCGATAATGCCTGCCGTACGTGGGGCTTCTTTTACGTCATCGGTCACAGAATTCCTGAGACACGTTTCAAAGAGCTCATGATGATGGCCGAAAAATTCTTCTCTTTGCCTCTTGAGGAGAAACTTGAAATTGATATTACCAAATCACTGGTACATCGTGGATATGGAATGACATCAGCTGAGCAGCTTGATCCCAGTGTATCAAGTGACTACAAGGAGACTTTTGACATAGGGTGTGACCTGGCGCCAGACCATCCATCGGTGATAGCGGGAGAACCGTTGCGTGGTCCTAACCAGCACCCTAATATCCCAGGCTGGAGGGATCTCATGGAAACACACTACAAAGATATGATGAGGGTCGCCCTCCAACTGCTGCGCGCGGTGGCGCTTGCTCTGGGTACCGACGAAAAGTTCTTTGTTGATAAGTTCAAAGAACCGATGAGCGTATTTCGCATGGTCCACTACCCTGCGCTTCCCGATGAAAAAGGCCGTGTTACTTGTGGCTCCCACTCCGACTATGGTATTGTTACACTTCTGTACCAAGATATGCTAGGTGGCCTACAGGTACTTAACCAACACGATGAGTGGATAAACGTGACGCCGATTCCTGGTAGTTTTGTGGTAAACATCGGGGACATGATGTGCATGTGGAGCAACGGTCTCTACAAAAGCACTAAGCACCGTGTGGTAAGCTTGGGTGCGGAACGCTATTCCATGCCTTTCTTCACAGAGCCCAATCCCAAAACGCTCATCAGCTGCCTGCCGAACTGCTCTAGCGATGAAAACCCGCCTCAATATCCTCCGATTCGCGCAGTGGACTGGATGTTGAAAAGGTTCAGCGAGACATACAAATATCGTGCTAAGGTGTGAGTCCTCTAAAGATATTCTGTCTGTAGGTTTTCATGGAAAACTTCAGTAAAGGCCAATTCCGAAGAGCGAAATGATAGAATGTTGCTATAATTATTATATTAGATTTACACAGTTGAAAGTTATTGCATAATTGTTATATTCCCTAATATTACTACCTAGTTTAGAACTGGACACCTGCTAAGATTCCTACGTATCACGACTACGCCTTAGTCTATATTCTACTTTTTTTTCTAGCAGTTTTCGTGATAGGCATTAATTACGATATGTTCAGCATTAGGCAAAATTATATTTCTTTTGAAAATATGTTTTAATATTTGGATTCCCCTTATTTTACAAGGTTGCACTCCGTTGATAAATGAGCAACCCGTTAATCATACGTTATTTATGCTATGAATCTATTATTTCACGCTTACTGAATAATCACCATAAGTATACCTCTTTTAAGAGAAAGTTGATCATCTCTGACAAAAATTATTTTTGCTAATAAAATTCGCTAAAATCCTATAATCCAACTTAACTCAGTAGTTGACTGATCCATCCACTCAACTGAACGCGTAGATAATGTTTGGTTTATATTTAACACACTTTCACACGCTACTCTGTATTCCGTTCAAGTACTAAGCTTCTGTAGCAAAGATCATCTTAGAGACGTCTAGAACCCAAGTACACACTCATCCAGCCTTTAGCACAGCTTCTGTGAGCGTTAAAGTCGCCAATATAGGATGTTACACAAAGAAGGTGATGAAGATCTGCTCCAGTACATGGTTCCTGGAAGTACGCTGGACGACATCGTTACTGATGAGGATGATGACGACTTTGACGCGTACTTCGACGTCATAGAGAACAACAAAACGGGCACAGCGCCCGTGGTGGTGCCGAGTAACGCTACACAAGTAAATGCTCAAGGTGGAGCAACCTCTTTAGCCAAATTTCAGCCTGCACAGCATAAAAATGCGAATGCCAGTGTCCTTAACCGAATCCGCATCGATGAATTCTACGAAGGACACGGTGGGGGTGCGAGTGGAGGTGCGAAGGCCAACCAGCGGGTGCTTAATGAGCTCCGTGACATGACCATAAGCGGTCGCTTTGCTTCTAGCCAGTCCCCGAAGAACGTGGACCGCTCGGAGAGGGCGACGGTAGAGAATGTAATGGACCCACGGACGCGGCTCATTTTATATAAGCTAGTCAACACAGGCATTTTATTTGAAATCAATGGCTGCGTTTCCACCGGGAAGGAAGCAAATGTATACTACGCTGTATCTGGTGATGGTAGCCCCGTCGCGCTTAAGGTCTTCAAGACCTCCATCTTAGCTTTCCGTGATCGAGATCAGTACGTCTCAGGAGAGTACCGGTTTCAGCGATACTGCAAGAGCAATCCACGCAAGATGGTGCGCACCTGGGCCGAGAAGGAAGCCCGCAATCTCAGTCGCCTGCAGGATGGCGGCGTGTTGGCCCCAGCGGTGAAGCTTCTAAGGCACCACATCCTCGTGATGGAGTTTCTTGGTGAAGATGGCTGGCCTGCGCCGCGGTTGAAAGAAGTGCTCTTCCCCTCCCACGCATCCCTGGATCGCTGTTATCTCGACCTCTGTTGCACAATGCGCAAGATGTATGCCCGCAGTCGGCTTATACATGGCGATCTCTCAGAGTATAATCTGCTCCTCTACCGTGGGCGTGTTGTTGTGATTGACGTATCTCAGTCAGTTGAGAGCGACCACCCGCGTGCCATGGATTTTCTACGGCGTGATATTACCAACGTGAATTCTTTTTTCGTATCCCAAGGGCTTGCTAACACCTTCACTCTGCAGGAGCTTTTTCACTTCATCACGGCGACATCAGCTCCTTCTGGCTGGCGGTGCTGCAGCGGCTCTCAAAACGATCAAGAGCTACTGGAGCACCTAAAAGAACTTCGTGAGTGGAGGCAATTGGAGGGCAAGGATACGTTCGCCCAGAGTGAAAAGGCCAAGGTTGATGAGCAGGTGTTTTTGAACATCACAGTACCTCGAACACTGAACGAGATTTCCGATCGAAGAGCCCCCAATGATGAGGTAGTACCGTTCGTGGAGGGAATGATTTCCCATGGAAGGTGTCAAGTAGCAGGAGACATGGCGCAATGTGTTGAGGCACCGTTCAGCGAGGAGAGCTCCGAATGTCAGCAAACTAGTAACGATAGCATGATGGGGAAGAACATGGAAGATGAAGCGGTTAGCAAAACGCAGAGGGAGAGAATCCTCGCGGTGGAACCACGGACCCTAGCTGAGATGTCTAAGGAAGAACGCAAAGAGCATCGCAAAGCTGTCAAGAAGGCTCAGCGGGAACGGCGTGTGGCAAAGAAAAAGGATGTGTCGAAGAAAGGAAAGCTCTACAACCACTGACAAATAGATAGCCTTGGTGTACCACCTGCTTACCCACGCCTATTCCTTGCTTAAGATCCTATTCTCCCCATGCACTTTCTCACATCCTGATATTTGGTTGGAGGGATGACTAGATTTAATTATTCGTAACAATATGTTTATATTTAATCAATCTAGAATGAGAGCCTCCTGTATTATTTGCCATATTTCATCTTGACATTTTATGAAATATGATATTCAATTAGATTAATTAAATTTATCTGTGAAGAGAAAAGATTGGGTGTCTATCAAGTTTCATTTCAAAGTTATATCCAATAAAAGTCATGATTTAAATTCGCTTCATTGGGTAATCACTTTCAGATGTAATTATCTCTTGTTATGCGCTTAACGAACTTTTTTATCACCATATTGCATTCAGATTCATTATTCTGTCTTCCCATGATCGTAAAAAAATCAGCCGTTATTCAAATTCATTTTAATTCCCGTATGTACATGTATGCTTATATGTGTGTGCGTATATCACTATAAGGAAACATGGCATATAGTTAAAAGGTCACTTGACCCTGCATTACTAACCTTAAGTGTATGCCAAGCTCGAATAAAAATTAACCTAATTCCTATTGAAAACGTATTAAGGGAACAAAATGGAAATGCTACGTAGATTAAATCTACACATGCATTTTAAATATTTAGATCTAAGATATATAAATATCAACGATCTGATGTTTTTGACAAAAAATCGCGTATTATGTACATCAGAAAACTTCATTTCTCCTCTTTTACATTGATCTATATACCTTGGTCGGTGATTATAGGCTACAGCAGAGTTCCAAGAAATAAATATACATCAAACATATTCATTTTAAGAATAATTTCGTGTAGCAACAATGCACTACCACATGCCTTTAGAGTATTCGAAATATATTGCACCAGTTCCTGAGCCTGAGCCATCCCCCATGTTGCACCATAATTTCGAAGACCCCAACTTTGTTCCCGGTAGCTCGCACTCGGCTTCATACCCCGCGGCCCCCGAACAACCTTTTCACAACCCTGACAGTATTCGTGCATTTCCGATCGAGATTGGCCATACCAGCCATCACGCCTTTGACTTTGACCACCCTTCCATTCCGCGAATGCTCCCGCAGGACTTACAGCAGCATCTCAACTCTGGCTTTACCGCCCCACCGTACATTAAACCCGTAAACGTACGCTGCGTGTGTCCTACAATGCAGGTCTTTCCCTCGGAAACCCAAATCGCGGACGCGTTGCAACTTCCACTGGGGATTATCCTCAGTCCGTTCGCCGATCCGAATGTCACCGAGGTAGACTTCTCCGAGGTTGGGAATCGCGTGATTCGCTGTCGACGATGTAGTGCGTACATAAACCCTTTTACCACGTTTTTCGACCGTGGGGCTCGCTGGCAGTGCATTCTATGCCGCCACCTCAACGAAACCCCAAAACCCTACTTGAGCAGCCTGAACTCGGACGGCCTCCGGGAGGATCTTTTGAACCGCCCCGAGCTCACCAATGCCTCGGTGGATATCATCGTGACGCCTGAATTTCTCCGTAGTCCCCCGCAACGTCCGATTCAATTGTTGGTGCTCGACTGCTCTTACCAGGCGGCTTCCTCGGGGCTTTTGGCCGCCATCTGCCAAGGCGCGCTGCGAGCCCTAGAGGCCGTAAAGGACGACGAGGTCATGCATATGGGTATTGTTGGCTTTGATACGACTGTGTACTTTTTCGACGTCCGAGCTAGCCTCAGCATACCGTGTATGATGGCGGCCCCGGATACGGTGAATAGTATTGCTAACGTAGACGATAAATTCAAGATCGAGCCAGTGGAGCTCCCGTGCTCGATCAATTCACTTGTGGTGCCTATCAAAGAATCCTATCGTATGCTGCGTGAGGTGCTTGAGAAGCTACCTGGGATGTTTGCCAATACGGAGGAAGTAGGATGTGCCTTTGGGCCTGCTCTTAGCGCTGCGGTCACAATGCTTGAAAATAACGGTGGCAAAATACTCACAAGTATTGCCTCCATCCCTTCCATTGGGGAAGGCAAGCTCAAACATCGTTTCAATATTGAAAAGCTTTCCGGGCAAACCAAAGAATACACCATGCTAACCCCGGCTAATGACTGGTACAAGGAACGGGCCCTGGCGTGTTCCTCCAATGCCATTTCCATCGACATCGTAGCGCTGGATAATGGGTGTGAAGGAAACCTCGATCTCGCCACAATTGCCCCGCTCGTTCGCTTTACCTCCGGGCATTTTTATCGAGCCACGACGCTAAATATGCGTGGGGTGGTCGCACAGGTTGAGCGAATGCTCTTGCGCTTTATCGCGTTCGACTCGGTCCTGCGTGTTCGAACCTCCAATGGGCTGGTAATACCGAATTTTTATGGGCACTGCCATGTGCGGGAGCCGGATTTGCTTTCGCTACCCATCAGCGATGAGGATGCATCCTACGCGACCGAATTCACCATATCGAAGAAGATTGTTGAGACTTTTGTGTATATACAATTCGCGGTGATGTACACAACGCGGTCTCGTGAAAGGCGAATTCGCGTTCACACGGTCCAATTACCAGTCTCCTCGTCCATACGTCAGGTCATCAACTCCGTCAATTCCGTCGGTACCGCCTGCTTCTTGACCAAAATATGCGTCGATGCCTGCACCAGTCGGTCTTTTGAACAGGCTCAGAAGCTTATCAACGATCGCATCTTTGCGGCCCTCCTCTGCGCGCAAAAAGAATTAGAAAAAGAAGGCCGACGCGCCAATCCTCGGCAAATGTTTATAACAGACAGTATGAAGTTTATCCCGCAGATTCTGAACGGTTTTTTTCGCTCCTACGCGATCGGCTCCCCGAGTGCGGGGGTGATTTATCCCGATACCCGGATTACCGCCATCTCGGCCGTCATAGCGTCCCGACCGGAGGCAATAATCCCTGGATTTTTATGTTGGTCTTATCAAATTTATTCGCCGCATACCCCGATTGAAATGGGCCCGGTGCCGATCTTCTCCAGTCGACATTATCTCTCCTCCTACAGCATAACGCTTATGGTGTTAAGTGATATGATGGTGATGTGGTATGGGAAAAAAACAAACCCGGTCGTACTCCAAGCCTTTGGGCTGGAAGCGGTGGATTCGGATCGCGATCTCGCGCCCAGCGATCAAGTAATATTGCCAGAAGAAATCAAAGATCTGCGTAAACGCACGGAGGACCTTCTAAACAACCTCCAGGCTATCCAAGCGCCATGCTTTAAATCGCAGTGTGAAGCATGTCCACAAGGCAAGGCCGATATTGAGACCAGAATCATCCGAGGGATGGTTGAAGATAGCTCGCAGTCTTTGATTTCATATAAAGTTTACCTTACTGGGTTATGGAAACGTCTCTCGGTGTAGAAACTTTAAATAAATGAATGTTGATAATTATGAGCTTGTTGTTTTGGGCTTAATCTCTTTAATGGAGGTTTTATAAGATAATCTACCGTAAAACACACTTTCTTGAGAGAAATTGGCGTGTTTATTAGTCCTAGTAACATTATGCAACTTCTTGCCTCTCTTCAATACCTTGAAAATTGATATTGAAATGCCTATGGTGTATTCTTATACCCGAAAATCAAAAATATAGACGTGTATATTTTTACTTTGTAAAATAAGGAAAAGACATAAATTGAAGGTCTAACGCATTTTGTGGGATAAAAGGTAGAAAAAAAAACAAAAGCAAATAAAATTATACATCTTCATGCACATGTTCAACTGATTCTATCTAGTATATTTCAAGTGTTGACTAACATTAATATATTTAATTTATTTCGCTATACATATTTAGGAGTTAGTTTGAAATTAAAAATATATATATATATTATAATTCATAACAACCAATACATTTGATATAACCAAAAATGGAGATACGTAAGCGCAGGGTGAGTATGGCACTCTCACTCCTTGTATTATTTCTCCTTTCCTTGAGCAAAGTAGTGGCCGATACGGACAAATCGTTGGCCGAACGAAGTCGTCAAGAGCAAATTACGCTTTGGGAATACCAATTGCATTATTTACGTCAAAATAAGCTAAACGATGCCCTTGTCAAGTTCCATCATGCGAATGCGAGACTCGAAGCCGCGAAAAAAAACAAGGCTTCTTTTATACCTCAAAAGAGCTCCGCGCGACTATTCGCTCGCTCGACGAGGATCTCTCGCGGAGCATGATTGAGGTCAAACATCTTCGCAATCAGGAAAATCAAATGTTGAGTAAACTCAAACCTTTATACGGGGTTCTTTCCACGCAGTTTGTGCACGAACAGAAGGAATCCATCGCTCACGCCATCTCTACCGTTCAGAAAATAAGCTACGACAACGCCTGGTATGGTTCGCTCTTTCGCGTCGGCGAGGCCGAATCTTTGACCGATCTGATTATGGGGTTTTTAGTGGAATGGTTGATGGGATATATTATTTTATACCCTTTTGCCGCGCTCTACTACGCGGTGTGGGTCGCGCCATGGAGCGTTTACGCCTATTGCTCCGGCTTTTCCGGTATTCTACCTGCCTTGTTGGCCTATGTTATCGCGGTGATGATTATGTTTTCACCTCTTTTGATATTGATGGGTGGGGTTTATCTGATTTACAGCAAACACCTTCGCGGAATGCCTAATTTATCCACCCGAGCGAGGCGCCGCAATCAGACTCATGAGGACTAAAATAAAGAAAAAGTGGGATATAGGGCCCAAATGCTCATAGACTTTTCAAATAGCAAAATGGATCATTATTTCGATTTATTGGTATCTAAACTATTATTCGGATGGATCGGGGATTCTGTTGTGCTTATTCTTTTTCCAGCTTTCTCTTCCAAATATTCACAGCTCAGAAAATTTCAATTAATAAAATGATAAATATCTATCACAGCATGTGCGGATATTTATGGGATACAGTTGTAGATTTATAACGATGTGAAATGCTAGAAAGGAAAGTGATTTTGGTACTTTCTCTTTATTTTATTATTGTCATCATTATAACTTTGTGGTGTGGTGTGTGTGGAATAATTACAACTCTTTATCTCCCTCCCTTTTTACCTGTGTGATATAGGAAAGCCGATATATATAGATATATATATAGGCCTTCCGTATTGGAGAGTTATAGACTCCTCTCTAATTTTCAGTAAATTGTTAGGGAAAAAAGGTCGTGAGTTTGTCTCATACTCCGATAACCGCCCAACTTTAGTAAAAAGAAAATCTATTACCTATTTCTGGAATTTTTTACCCCCCCCCCCTACCACACACACGCAAAAAAAAAAATGAGTCTTTCCAGTCTTGTCATTCCTCAGCCTCTGACGGAAATTCTGCGGGATCATCAAAAAGATGCCCTTCACCAGATGTGGAAACGTTTAGTTGATGATGGAATTCTCCACATGGCAATTCAATCTCGCACCTCGACAATTGAGCAGCGGGCCTTACTTTATCATGAGGTGTATGGCTATATTATCTGTCATTCGATGGGCCTGGGAAAAACCCTGACAAGTTTTTGTTTCTTAATGTTTTTGGAGGCCCGGGTTCGGAAGTTGATAACCGGGGATTCGGTAGGACCCCCAACCCACGACTTCATTCCCAATAGTATTAATAAGCATCTTCGCCCTGAGGATTACTGTCCGCACCTGCGACTATTGATAATCTGCACGAAAAGCTTAGTCCCGCATTGGCAGAACACCATCGAGGAGTGGGGCCGACGCGAATTATTCGACGACGCCCCATTGCCCCTTTACCTCCCAAGCACCGCGCCGTCCGACGGCCTGGCGAGGCTGTTCACGTCGTATCACCGCGAGGGCGGCATTCTGATCGTGGGCTACGAGGAGTACCTGGCCCTGACGAGGACCTTTGCCCAAGCGCCCTTGAAGACCGCGTGGATCGACCGGGTGTGGTCGAAGGTGGACGCCCTTCGCCGGGTCCTCCCGCGCCCCCCCCAGCTCGGGCTTCTCGACGTCCTGGAGACGGCGGATGGGGTGGTCTTGGACGAGGCCCACCGGCTCCGCCGCGGGGCGTCGAAGGTGGTGCGCGCGCTCCGCCGGCACCTGCGCGCCGTCCAACTCCGCGTCGGGCTGACCGGGACGCCGCTGCAGAACCACCTCGCGGCCTACAACGTCCTGCGCGCCGTCGTGATCGGGGCGGATCTCGACGGCGGGGCCTTTCGCAAATATTTCGCGGCGCCGATCGCGCGCGGGCAGTGCGCCGAGGCCAGCCCGCGCGAGTTCGCGGCGATGCAGCGCGGGGTGGCCTCGCTGCGGCGCGACCTCGCGGCGGTCGCGCACCACGCCGGGCCGGAGCTCCTCGCCCGCGGCCTCCCCCCGCGGCGGGAGTGGGTCTACTTCTTCCGCCTCTCGCCGGCCCAGGAGGCGGGCTACCGCGCGGCCCTGGCGGCCTTCGCGCCCGGGGGGACGCCCGGCGCC